TATTTCAACTCCATATGAATCAAATATAGTGCAATAGCCATGCTTGAATAACAACGAATAGCCCTTATTCATCATTTGAGCAACTAATAGTAGATTTTGGCTTAAGTTAGGAATATCAAGAACATTAGAAATTTGCTTGGTACCTGTCAATGTTCAAATCAAAACCATTCCCCTGCCTTGTGATTGCACCACTGTACCATTGCCTAGCTTCACATTGATTCTCGCATTTTTATCCAAACCAATAAATAAGGTTGTGTTCTTTGCCATATGACTGGTGTAACCACTATCAATAAACCATGATGCTAATGAAGATGAAGTAGCATTTTGCCATGAATATATAATCTTCTTGATGCTGCTCATCTGTATAATTAGCTTGTTGAAGCTATTTTACCTTGTACTGAGTTTGCTTGGCTCTGCAATTCATTTCAATATGACCCAATTTTTTGCAAAATCTACGTTGTATTTATTGCTTCCCTTTGAACCAACAATTTTTCTCTTCATGATTTGTCTTTTTACAATGAGAGCATGGTGGAAACTCCCTCTTTTGTATGATTGGTCTAATTGATATTGTTGAGGCTGATTTTCAGTTGATTTTCCTTTATCATTTCTATCAAGATAAGGCTTGCTATCTGAGGTTGTAGCTCCTTGCATTGCTTGGAAGGCACCTTTTGTTGTTGCACCATCACCTTTCATTATCAATCTCTATTCATGAGCTTTTAATTTGTTGATAAGCTCAGAAATAGTTAGTGTATCTAAGTCACAAGTTTCTTTTATAACTGAAACCTTAGACTCAAGCTTGTTTGGAACACTAACCATGATCTTTATTATGGAAAATATCATATCATAATTAATTGAGATGCATTATAAATATTTAGGATTATGTAAATATATTATTTATTATTCTTTTGTCCTTCCATATATGCTAAGGCTACATAGTTTGCATTCCAATTAGCAATATCGTCACGTTTGTATATATTACATTCTTTGTAAAATAATACTATGAATTCAATCCCGTATTTTACAAAGTTACCTTACCTTATTAATCTTCTCAACAAATCTTTTGACAGAAAATCACCATCATTTGTTTTGATCTGATTCACCAAATCAATAAGTTTTGTTGAATATTGGTGAACAATTTCATCTTCAGCTATTTTCAGCATTTCAAATTGCCTATTTAGTGTGACAACATTGTTGCCTTTAACACTTGTATCCCCTTCGAACTCATCATTCAAAATTTTCCATGCCATTTGTGTTGTTTCTACACTCATGAGTCTTGGAAAAATTGAATCTACTACACTTTGGATGCAAGAAAGTGCTTTGTAGGCTTTTTCCACATACTGTTGAGTGACTCTTCGACTAAGCTACAATAGGATTGTTAGCCAACCTTGGAGGATTAAACTCATTCTCTATTGAGTCCCGAACACTAGTGCCTCTTAGAAAAGTTTTCATCATGATGACCTAGATGTAGTTTTCTCCTATAAACAAGGGTGGATTAGAGAGTGAATCAGTTGTAGGATTACTAGTAGACATGGTTGTGTATCAGTTGGTCACAACTTCTTTTCTCTTTAACAGGTCTCTCAAGAAAAAGGGCTCTAGTACTAATTGTTGGTGTAGTTGCTGGTATTTCACAAAAAAAAAAAAAAAAGAACTAAAAGAAATGGAGAAAAAGACTAGCTTGCTACTAGGAGCTTAATTTCTAGTTTTTCCTTATTGGTATTTCATTCATAACTAATTGTATATATCAGATTACAAAATCAGACAATCTAATGCCAACAGTAGTACATTGAGTGGTGTTTGTTCTAACAACCCCACCTAATTCATCAAACACCATACATATACAAAATATCTAAAGACATAGTTCCTTGATTAAAGGAACTATACTAACAAAAAAGACAACCAAGCATTGACTTAGAGTTACATCACAAATGCCACTTTACATTTGAGCACTAACAATTTCTTCAAAGCTTTCTTTCTTTCCTGTTGAAAAGGCAATCAAATTAAAATTAGCGCAAGGTTGTAGTAACTTCACAAAAATAAGTTATGAAAAATTTTCTTCAATTTTTGCTTTCCCCCTTTAAAATGTGTTCCTTTTGATTGCAGAATTCAGGTGCTTCTAAAGAAGACTGAAATTTAAGTTTATAAAAGCTGGCTTCGGGGTGATGTTTCAGGTGGGTAAGTGGATTCTATCCACTGCGCTTGTCAGATTTATTAGCTTGCCCTTCATAAAGACATCTCTTATACAAGTTATATATGTTGCTGATGACTCTTTCTTACTTCTAGGTTGTATGATGCGCTCACTGGAGTTTAGTGACTTCAAGGTGCAAACTTTTTTGGCATCTAAAAAATATTATTTCAATTCCTAAAACTAGTCTTCTGAGTTTTTAAGCTCCATGTCTGACTTCATCTTATGAGTATATAATTTCCTGTCCTGGTTTGGTTTTGTAGTGTTAATGAAAATATTTAAACTTGAAATGTATCTTCATTTAGAAAACGTGATGTTCCAGATTATGAATTGGGCCTATACATGTCTTGAGCATCTTAGTTATAGTCCTGATGCCTTTTGGGTTATAATGGAAGGGATTTTGTATTTCCATGATGTGAATTCTTATTCTACGGAAACAAATTAAGACCGGGCTAGTTTGCTAGCCGTTTTTGGTCATGGTCTATGTGAGGGCTTTTTTGCCGCAGACTGCACAGTTACTTGGTTTAGTACCAGCAATAGCTATAATGCTTTAATGAACTTGGAGCTGCAAGTAGAACTGATGGCCCAGGAGTTTTTGCAAGACATTTGCACTTCTTCCCTGTTAAATAGAGAGTAAAAGAAAGGCAGAACCAGAGTAAAAGAAAGGCAGAACCAGAGCCAAAAGTTAGAACCTGGTATGTTACCGTGCCAAATGTATTTTTGTTCTTCGGTCTGAATATACTAAAACTCCAAAATGGTTTATAAATACTTTCCTAC